GTTCTATTCTGCTGGATTGGCCTTCCATTTTGTTTTGCAGTTCTGTTTCGTTCTTTTTTCTGAGGTTTTCCATATCCTGGCTGTTTTCCTCTTTAATGTTGTCTATTTCTGTCCTGAGTTCATTGATCTGTTTATTCATCGTGTTCTGTGTTTCACTTTGGTGTTTATACAGTGCTTCTATGGTTTCCTTTATTTCTTCTTTTGCTTTTTCAAATTCTCTATTTTTGTTATCTTGGAATTTCTTGAGTGTCTCCTGTACATTTTGGTTGACCCTATCCAGTATCATCTCTATAAAATTCTCATTGAGTACTTGTAGTATGTCTTCTTTTAAATTATTCTTTGGGCTTCATTGGGTCCTTTGGCATAGTTTATCTTCATTTTGTTGGAGTCTGGATCTGAGTTTCTGTTTTCTTCATTCCCCTCTGGTTCCTGTACTAATTTTTTGTTGTGGGGAAACTGGTTTCCCTGTTTTTTCTGTCTTCCCGTCATTGTCTTTGGTGTTGTTACTGTCCCTGTACTGTGTGCAATTAAGTATTTTCTAGCTTGTAATAATAACAATGGTAATATTTAGAATGGAAGGGTGAGCTGAGATGGAAAGCAAGAAGTTAAAGAAAAGGGGAAAACAAATACACAGACAAGAGGGAGAAAGCAGAACAACATTTCAGACAAGAAAGTCTCAAAGGTATAAACAGGGAGCATTAGTGTAATAATTGACAGTAAGCTGAACAGACATTAGAGGGACAGAGATAAGATTGAAAATCAAAAATAAAAAAAAATAAGATAAATAAAAATAAAAATAAGTAAATGAAAGAAATATCTATATATTAAAAATGAATTAAAATAAAATGGAAAATAGAAAATTAAAAACAAAAAAACCCTCCAGGTTCAAATGCAATGAAGTTTCTGTCTTAATAATTTGGGTGTCTGTCTCAGTCTCCAATCCTGGAGATGGTGCCTCAGATGTTGTTCTGTAGTTGTCTTATCAAAGGGGATGCATAAAGTAGAACAAAACTACACACACACACACACACACACACAAAAACCCCAACTTGTGTCCCAAGTTCAAATGCAATACAGTTTCAGTAAGTTTTTCCACTTGTGGGTGTAATTTGGTTGTTCTCTCATCGAAGGTGGAGAGAAAAGGAAAAAATAGAGTCTGGAGACAGTTCTGTGAATGGTATCTGCAGCTGTGGCTTGCCTGCCTGCTGCTGTCAGCCTGCTGTTGCTGGAGGCATTATTTATGCAGATCTCTGGGGTGAGCTTAGCACTCACCTGGCCCCCCCGCAGGCTTTGTTTGCTCAGAGTTCTCCTGTGCGAGAGCTTCTGCTACAGACTTTCCCCTTTCCAAGCACTGGGAAAGGTGACACTGCACCCACATTCTCAGGCCTGCGTGTTTATTTACAGTTCATGTGGGAGGTGGGTCTTCCCCCCTCTCCTGTGAAGTTTTCCTCCCACTGCCACTTTCACAATCTTTCCTGCTCCTGCTTACTGGGCGGTGCTGCTGCTCCTGCCAGCTGCCATGTTTGTTTACAGCTCATGTGGGAAGTGGGTCTTCCCTCCTCTCCTATGGAGTTTTCCTCCCTCTGCCACTCTCACAAGCTTCCCCGCTCCTGTTTGCTGGGCGCACGCCCCGCCCCCGCTCCTGCCAGAGGCTCTCCGGCCCGCCCGGCTTGTTTATTTACAGTCCTGGGAAGGATTCCCTTCCCCCAATCTTCAGCGCTCAGGGTGCCCCACCCTCTTTCCAGTGTGTCTTTATTGTTCTTATTGCTTATTACTCAGTTTCTCTTTTTTCCCTGGGTGGAGGTCAGTCTGTCCAGGGAGCTATGCTGCTCTGGCCCAGGCTTGTCTGTGGGAGTACCACCGTACGGCAAAGCTCACCTGGTCTGCGTCTTCCCAAGCCGTCTGGGCGCCGGCGACTGGCGGCCCGGGGGCCCTCCTTGTTTCTCCCTTTAACGTGAAGTGGAGATTCTCTGTGCTGGCTAGAGGTGTGGAGGGGTCAAAGTTATGCCTTTTCTCAATGATTATGCTGCAAAGTGTGTCTCCCGCATCTCTCCAAGATTTCACTATAGGAGGCTCGCTTTCTGCTTCCTCCCTCTAGCTACCATCTTGGAATCCTCTCTATTCTGGATATTAATTCCCTGTTAAATACATAGCTGGCAGTGCTTTTCTCCCCTCTGTTTGCTGTCTCTTCACTATGAATTGTTTCCTTTAATGAGCAGAATCTTTAATTTGATGCGATCCCATTTGTCAATGGCTATTATTTCCTTAGCTAGTGGAGTCCTATTCAGAAAGCCATTCCCTATATTTTGAAGTTTTCCCCTAGTAGTTTCAAAGTTTCAGGTCTTATTTCAAGGTCTTTCATGAGCTTTACATCAATTTTTGTACAAAGTGAGAGACAGTGATACAGTTTCAGTCTTGTACATGTGGTTATCCAGTTTTCCCAACACCATTTGTTGAAGAGGCTGTCTTTTCTACAATGTGTGCTTCTGGTGGCTTTGTTGAGAATCAGGTGGCTGTAACTGCATGATTTCTGGATCCTCTAGTCTATTCTGTTGTTCTTTCTGTCTGTTTCTTTGGCTCTGCAGTGCAATTTGAAATCTGGAATTGTGATATCTCCAGTATTGGTGTCTTTGCTCAGGATTACATTGGCTATTTGAAGATTTTTGTATTTCCATACAAATTTTAGAATTGTTTTTGCAATTTTATTATAAAAAAATCTTAACTTATCGCAATCTATTTTAGAATAATACTAACTGAATTCCAGCTTAATGTAGAATATTTTCTCTAATATAATTCTTTAGCATCTTACTGGCCTCCATTGTTTCTGATGAAAATTCAGCTATTAATCTCATTATGTTCTCCTGCATATAATAAGTTCTTTCCTGTTCAACAATTTCACTTTGATTCTTTCTTTTAGCTTCTTTCTCTTTACTGAAATTCTTATGTGATAAATCAATAACATTATACCTCCTTTAATTCTTCATTATTCCCTTTATTTCTTACATATTTATAGTAGCAGTTTTGAAGTCTTTGTCTGCCAAGTCCAACATGAAAGCCTCCGAAGAGACAGTTTTTATCGACTGCTTTTTCTCCCACTGTGTATGGATTACACTTTTGTGTTTCTTTGCATACCTCATATTTTTGTTGTGGAAAAATAATATATATAAAAAGTGAGAGATTTATATGACCTTAAGAGAAATCAGAGTATAAAATAAGATATTTTAGGCAATATGTAAGACAAATTGTGAATTCTTCATTGTCCATCCCAGAGGTTATTTTTATTATTTATTGTTTGTTTGTTTAGTTACTTAACTGGACTAATTCTGCCTCCCTTGCATCATGTAGCTACTAATACCTAATTTTAAAAAAAAATTTTAATTGTTTCAATTTTTTTTGTTTTGTTTATTTATTAGAATATAATAGTTGTACTAGGGGTACACAGGGACATTTACAAAAATGCTTACAATGTATCTTAGTTAGATTCATCTCTTCTGTCCTCCTTCATCCTCCCACTCCCTCCCCCTTCCCAGAACAATTTCAACAGGTCTCATTGTTCCACTTTCAACATGAATACATAGTACTTCCACTATATTCACCCTCCTTCACTCTTTCCTTATGCCTTCCTTGCTCCCACTGGTACTCTCTAGGGGTTGCTCTTAAGTCAATGTAGCTTAATGGTGAGCCAATGATTGATGAGAGGTTGTGCTTACCTTAAGCCAGGAAGGCTTCCATCTTTGCCAGTGGATCTACTAGTGAGCTGCAGAACACACTCTACATTTTGCAGTCCACAGGTCTGACTAGATTTTACTTTTTGACATGCCTTCTCATGTCTGATCTATGAATATCCTTGGTTTCTCATTCATGGGAGAATACATGGGTAGCTAGAGCACTCTCCAGTGTCTTGTTCTCCAGTGTCTCCTGAGTGTGTACAGCCTTCTGAATGAAAAGGGGATGTGTGAGATTATCAAGGCTCACTATAACTGTCTCATTCCCTAGGTCTCCGTTTAAATTTCTTATATGCCTGTTAGTCTGTGTCTTCCCCTACCAGAATCACAGCCTTAAGCTGTCTGAGACGTTGGCCTTCCTGGGCATGTGCTCCATTCCAATTCTAGTTTGCTAGCCCCAGTAGTGGAGCTGCTGGTTTTTAGGAATTTTTGTTCACTTTTAGAACTAAAGTGGGGCGAGAAGGTTTTGCTCAAAATTAGTTCACTCAACTACTTTTCTATTAGTGAACATTAAGATTTTCTCTGATTTTTCGTACAATGACCATCTTATGAAGGTTTTCCTTTTGACCATGTGTATTAGTTTCCTAAGTCTTTCCATACCAAATTATCATAAACCTTGTAGCTTAAAACATTAAAAATGTATTCTCACAGTTCAAGAAGCCCAAGTCTGAAATCAAAACATCAGCAGGGTTGGTTCCTACTGGAAGCTTTGAAGGAGAATCTATTCCATGTCTCTCTCCTTGCTTCTGGCAACTGCCAAAATACTTAGCATTGAAGCTTCCCTCCAGTCTTTGTATTTCTCATTACATAGTATTTTTTCCTATGTGACTGTGTAGCTGGACTTCCTTCCCCTTTCTGTTATAAAAGAGCGGTGTTGGATTTAGGGTTCACCCTAATCCAGTATGACCTCATCTTAACTGATTACATCACTAAGGACACTATTTCCAAATGAGGTCACATTCTTAGGTTCTAGTAGACATAAATTTTGAGGGATATTATTCAGCCCAGTATACCATTCATTATGAAGTTATCACATGAAAATAAGTATGGTCTTTTTTGTGAATGAGGTGATCTTTTTGTGAAGATTAATTTGAAAATACTGCTAGCCTGACTTGCTTTGTTAGGATAGTTCCTCAACTTAAGATAACTCACACCTCCTTTTTTTAGTTATTTTATTCATGCTGTTAAGAAAAAAGGCAGAGATCTGTGGATAAGAAAGTGTTGGCAGAGCCTCACTCTTCTCAATTCTAACTTACATGCCTGTTTTTAATCTAGAGCCAAACAACTATCGGACAATGCATGGCCGGCAGTAAATGGCAGCCAGTTGGGAAAGGATTACATCCAGCTGAAAAGCATGTTGCAACCCATCCGGATTTATTCCAGAGCCAGCTTGTATGGCCCTAATATTGGGCGGCCCAGGAAGAACGTCATTGCTCTTCTAGATGGGTAGGTCAGAATATTTAGCTGTACACATGACATTGTCTAGTGAATGTATTTTATATATTCCTGTTTAAATGTTTGTACATTTCCCTGTTTATTTTCTTAAGAATAAAAGAGGAGCATTTTCCACAGTGTCTTACTCCAGTCTGAATCTTATCCTTTTTTAAACAATGGAAGAACTCATCTCTTCAGGCTTCTCATTATCGGTAGAGGGTGGTGGGATGGGGAAGGCAGATCACCATCTTCAGATTGAGAAGGATGCATTATTTGGAAAAAAATTTTTTTTATTGTTTTATTATTCATATGTGCATACAAGGCTTGGGTCATTTCTCCCCCATGCCCCCACCCCCTCCCTCTCCCCCCCCACCCCCTCAATACCCAGCAGAAACTATTTTGCTCTTATCTCTAATTTTGTTAAAGAGAGAATATAAGCAATAATAGGAAAGAACAAGTGTTTTTGTTGGTTGAGATAAGGATAGCTATACAGGGAGTTGACTCACATTAATTTCCTGTGCGTGTGTGTTACCTTCTAGGTTAATTCTTTTTAATCTAACCTTTTCTGTAGTTCCTGGTCCCCTTGGAAAAAAAATTTAATATTCTAGCATTTCATGCTTCATTTTATACTTTTCACAAGTTGAGAAACACTACAAATATTTGTAGACTAAAGCACAACTGGACTGATAGATTCGTTAAGATATTCTGGAGAGTTTCTACCACTTGTTTTATTAAATTTTGACTGAATCTGACAGTCACTTTTTAGGCTTTGGCACAGATGAGGCACTCTGTTAAATGCTTTCTGACTCAGTCCTAGTGGTGGACCAGGCTGAAACTGGATAATGGAGACATCCATGCAGAGGAGCCTTGTCATACAGGGTCAGAGGAAATGCCTGACTATGAATTTGTTGCCAGTAAAGAGGTAGAATTACAGCTAAAGAGAGCCAGGGTAGCGTGAAGAAGGCTGAAGAAAAGGGACCCATGGTAGTATGAGAAAGGCTGAAGATAGATCTATGAAGAATCCAAGGTCCAAAGCAGAGATGTAATCAGAGCAGGAAGGGTACGAACAATGAGGTTAAGAAATTCAGGACTCTGTGTACCAAGACACACATTATATGCCTTGTTTTGTCATAGTCTGCAGTAGGAGTGATTCTTCCTACAGACTCAAAGATGAGTAAGATATTTTCCAGTGAAGTTAGAGAAATGCCGTGCAAGTATGAAATACACAAATGGATATGTAAGTACGAGATACATGTTTGTCTACTGAATGTCCCTCGTGTCTTGATGGTAGTTGTGACTCCTTCCTTTTCTTGTTACTTAGTCTTGATCTAAGCTTATGAACATAATAGACATTACTGAAGGTTTGTGAAGACAGAAGAACTTATACTGTAATATTATTAATAATCTGAAATTTAATGCTAGGCATTTTTCCTTTTATATAAGTCACCGTGTTCTTCAATTCCTGTTCTTTCCCCACTCTTTTCTCTCCTTCTGCTATACAAAAGTGTTTCATGACCTTATTCCCTACTTATAATGCAGCTGTGGACTTTTCTTTGCATACTGTTACTTAAATCTGAAATTACTGTGTGTATGTAGCATGGGGAAGAATGAGATGAAGAAGTTGGTTACATTTTTCCTGTTTTAATTAGTGAATGAGGATCACGTGTATTGAACTTTACTTACATTTTGTTGATTCATTAAAAAGCAAAGCTGATCGCTCTATCATTTAAGTCCACACAGTTATTATTTTAGACTATTCATTTCTTAAATGGTTTGATTAATATATTCTCTTATGACCCATAGTCCCCTTTCAATAGCATACCATATCAGTCATTTATTTATTCTGAAGATGTTTCTTAAGCAGCTACTATGTACTGTTAGGAACTGAGAATAAATTAATAAACAAAAACAGACACATTCTTTGCCCTCATACAGTATTCACTATGTTAGGAGGAGACACATAGACATTAATCAACTAAGCTTAAAACTAAGACAATAATGTTTCTATGAATGAATGAAAGGGCTCTGATTTAATTAAATTAGGAAAGTCATGGAAAAGAATACCTCAAAGAAGTGACCTATAAGAAGAAGGGTATTTAAGGTGTAATATGAAGGATGATTGAGAATTAACTAGACAAACAAGAGGTAAACAGTATCCATGTTTGTTTGTTTTTTTTTTTTTTGAAAGAATGGAAAGCATGTACACAGACTGAGAATGAAAAATAGCTAGGATGGTAAGAGAAAGTTATAGTCAGTGAAGTAACAAGGAGTAATGTTATATAGAACCTTACAGACACAATTGAAGGGCTTGCAATTTCTTCTAAGTGCAATCAGAAAAATACAGAATGTTTCTAAGCTGGGGAGGGAAATGATTTGATTTATTGTATAGAAAGCATGTTGTGTCTACTCTGGAAAATGGGTTGAAGAGAAAGCAGGAAAATCAGTGAGGAGGTTGCTGCAGTAATATACAGAAAGAATGATGGGAACCTGGACTAGGGTGGTAGAAAGTATAGTTGGAGGTAGACTCCACAGGATGTGATGGTATTTGGATTAAGTGTATGATGATGTGATAGAGGGATTCATAAGTAATTAGGTAGATGGTGTGGACATTCACTGAGATGAGAAGGCTAGCGAATAACTAGTTCTGGGAATAAAATCATGACTTTGGTTGTCATGTTATGGTTATTATGATTGAATCTAAATATATATGTCAAAACTGTCATTGAATGTGAGTGAGGAGATTAATGTCTCAGCTAGAGATATTAATTTTGGGGGTGATTGTCATGAAAATGGGATTTAAATTCATAAAAATAGAGGATATAAGTTAGCGTGTAGGCAGAGCAGAGATAGAGACTTACTTAGGAAAGTTCGTTGTGGAACCTGAGCATATTTAAAAAGGAAAGAGAAGAGGAATGCCCTCTTGGTTAGAGGAAAAGGAGAAAATAAGGTACATCACTCTCCTTGAATAAGGAGAGTGAGCTCCTGGGTCAGGAAGTCACCAAATAGGAAGAGAGAAAAGTACCTTTGGGTTTGGCAACATACAGGTTCTTGTTGACCTTGAGCAACTGTTCAGGAGAGTGGTAGAAACTGAGGTTGGATTGTAGAAGCTTGAAGAATGAGTGGGGAGTAAGAAATTAGAATTTTTATTGTGAAGAAAGCCAGGAAAAAATGAAGATGTGTGGTCAAGGAAAGCTATAACAATTTACCCTTTTTAAATTGGGAGATAGTAGAACAGATTTGTAGATTGAGAGAATATACCCATGAGAGGAGAAGTGCTTAGAAGATACAAAAGAAGGATATAGCAAAAGTAAGGAGTCCTTTAAGGTTAGAAGAGATAGAACCCAGCGATATTGACCTTCATTAAATTGAGAGCAACAAGTCTAGGTTCATAAAAAGTAAGAAACATGATAACAAGCAAAGATAAAAGAAATGAGCATGTGTTGTGGTTTGAATATGAAATGTCCCCCACAGGCTCATGTCGTTGAAAGCTTGGTCCCAGCTTGTGGCACTGTCTTGGAAAGTGCTGGACCCTTAGGCAATGGGGCCTAACTGGAGGAAGAGGTCACTGGGGGCAATTTCTTGGGAGATACATTTTGCCAGGGCCCCTTCATCTCTCTCTCTCTCTCTCTCTCTCTCTCTCTCTCTCTCTCTCTCTCTCTCTCTTTCTCTCTCTCTCATTCCTGGCTGCTATAAGGTGAGCAGCACTACCCCACCATCCTCTCACTACCATGATGTTTAGATGTTTAGCCTCACCTCAGGGCCCAATCAATTGAGCCAACCAACCATGATCTGAAACTTCTGAATCCAAGAGCCAAAATAAATCCTTCCTCCTTTTAATTGTTTCTCTCAGATATTTGTCACATCAAGGAAAAGTATGTGACTGGGGTGATGTGGAGGCAAAGGATGGACTGCACTTCCTCCATATCCTGAAATTCAAACAGTACTCGAAAGACTATGGAAAATCTCGCAGAGTAAGGAAAGATACTAATGAACATTTTTATGGGCCAGGAAAAAAATGGAGGTTTAACTTTCTTAATGTATATGTTCCAAATAGATAGTGAAATATAAGTAGAAACACGTAAACCGCCCCAGAAACTTGAACTAACAGTAACAGAAATGTCAGCACTCTAAATTACTAGCTCTGTAGTCCTTTCCAATCCTTGTGGTTAAACAGATATAATTTTACATAGATGTGATCATTGTATATGCATCATTTTGAGTTCTGCATTTCTTACTCATGGTTTCATATGGCTCTTTCCTTATTTCTACATAGTTTTCATATTTGCAATTCTTCATACCAATAAAATATTCCATTGCACTAACGTACCAAAGTCCTCCTAAGCATTTTCTCACTGTTGGGCATTTGGACTACTTCCAGTTTCTGTCAGTAATATATAGCACAACCATAAACATCTTTATACAAATAGGATTTTTATTTCTTTTGAATTATGTCGTTGGGCTATATTCCAAAAATCTGGGTTTCTGGGTCAAAATATATGATAATTTTTATGGCTTTTGTATCTGTTGCCAAATTTCTTTTCAGAATAATTTCACCAGGTTGTAGGGCAGTTGCGAATTAGTGTGTCATTTCTCCCAATATCCCACTGCAGTGAACATTGTCATCTTTATGAATGCACTCTATTTAAATTAATGTAAGATTGTGTCACATGCTTGTTTATATTTGAATTATGTTAACTTTGAAAAAGAGCTGAAAATTTTCCAAATCCTTACGTCATTTTTGTTTCTCTTAACCCAAGTTTGGTTAATAACACAATAATTATTTGCCTGAGGCCTATACTGGGAGGCTATTTTTTACGATTTTATTAGCATATAATAGTTGTACAAGGGGGTACACTGTGATATTTACATATGTGTTTAAAATATGTCTTACTTGGATTTACCCCCTCCATTGTCCTAACTCTTCCCTCTCCCTTCTTCTTAGAACAATTTCAACAGGTCTCATTCTTCTGTTTTCATATATGGATACAAAATACATCCACCATATTCACAAT